CACTGCTGTTATATGAACAATACATGCTTAGTAATTACTCCTCATGCGAATAACCTGCATGTAGTTTTACAACTTGTATGTTTTCTAGTTTAAAAATGTACATCTGACGAACGCAATAATGCACAGAAAATCGAGTGAAACCCGTTTACTTATCTAGCTGTTGAGTTTCAGAGAAATCTGAAAGCGCGCTGCAGGAATCTCAAGTGAATGCTAGCCAGCCATATAAATGCAAGGCAGTAAGCTCATTGGCTGCATATGCAGCATGAACCAATCAGCTTGTGCCAAGTCGTTTAACTCTCTGAATATCATCAGTTACACGAGTAAGTTCTTGGTTTAGGCGTTCAGTCTGTCCATTGGATTGGGGGTGGTAACCGGAAGTAAGACTGATATTCACATTAAGTTGTTTGAAGAATGAAGACTAGACTCTGGATGTGAATTGAGGACCACGGTCTGATACAATGTCCTCTGGAAGACCATAGAAGCGAAAGACATAATTGCACAGGATCTCGGCTGTCTCAAATGCCGTGGGAAGCTTTGGCAGGGGAATTAAGCGACATGCTTTGGAGAATCGATCAATTACAGTTAATACAGTGGTGTTACCTTGAGAAATGGGGAGATCTGTGACAAAGTCGATAGCGATATGGGACCAGGGGCGTTGAGGAATGGGTAGTGGCTGAAGTAGACCTGCGGGTAGTTGTCGTGGAGACTTGGATGTATTGCAAGCGGCACAGGCATTTACAAATGTGATTGTATCTGTGGACATAGCAGGCCACCAAAATCGGTTCTTTAGTAACTGGATAGTAGCATTTATACCAGGGTGACCTGAGCTGAGAGAGGTGTGCCCCTGATGCAAGAGCTTATCCCGGAGAGATTCAGGAACGTAAGTGAGTTCGGGTGGACAATTTGGTGGAGGAGGATTTTGCCTGTTAATCTGATAAATTTCTGTCATGACGTCCCACTGTACTGGTACAGCTAGCAAAGTCTCTGGGATAACGTTCTCTTCGATCTCGGGGTAATTAGTTTGATCCGTCTGTCTGGATAGTGCATCGGCTTTGATATTCTTGGTGCCTGGTCGGTAAGTGACTGTGAAATTGAACCTTGTAAAGAACATTGCCCATCTTGCCTGCCTAGGGTTCAGTCGTTTGGCAGAGCGTAAATATTCCAAGTTTTTATGGTCGGTCAAAACAGTGAACGGATGTTGAGCTCCCTCTAGCCAATGACGCCATTCCTCCAGAGCTGCCTTCATGGCTAGAAGTTCGCGATTGCCTACATCGTAATTCCGTTCGGCTGAGGATGGTTTCCTTGAATAAAAGGCACATGGGAACATTTTGGCTGGATTACCTTGACGTTGTGACAGTACTGCTCCGATACCCGTGCTAGAAGCACCGACCTCCACAATGAAGGGGATACTGGGATCTGGATGATGGAGAATTGGCGCAGATGTGAATCTTGTCTTGAGTTCCTGAACGCTCCAGGAGAGACGGGAGGTGGAGCGTTTTGTCATGGCAGTTAAAGGAGCAGCGACTGCGCTGAAATTTCTAATGAATCGTCTGTAGAAGTTGGCGAACCACAGAAATCGCTGTAATTCCTTGACTGTGCGAGGTAGAGGCCACTCCAGTACTGCCCTGACCTTGCTCTCATCCATGGCCACGCCCTCCTGACTGATGATATAGCCGAGGAATGAGGTGGAAGTCCGATGAAACTCACATTTCTCAGCCTTGGCATATAGCTGGTACTGAAATGAGGCGTTTTAGGACAGATCTCACGTGTTGAAGGGGTTCCTTTTAGAGTGTTAGAATAGATCAGAATATCGTCAATATATACAATTACCCATCGATCTAGCATGTCACGGAACACATCGTTGATGAAAGATTGGAACACTGAGGGACTGTTGGACAGGCTGAACGGCATAACTGAGTATTCATAGTGGCCTGTGGAAGTAGAGAATGTTGTCTTCCATTCATCTCCCTCCTTGATTCGGATCAAATTATAGGCACTACGTAGGTCTAGCTTAGTGAAGTATTTGTCCTGACGGAGCTGCTCAAGGGTGGAAGGAACTAGAGGTAAGGGGTACCTGAACTTGACAGTTATATAATTGAGTCCGCGGTAATCAATACAGGGTCGGAGACCTCCATCTTTCTTTTTAACAAAGAAGAATCCGGCTAATGCGGGTGAGGTTGAAGGTCTGATAAAACCGTTGGTTAACTCCTCTTCTATGGAGGCTTTCATGGCTTCTGATTCAGGTTGAGATAAAGGGAAAATTCTACCCTTAGGGGGTGTGGTACCGGGGAGTAGTTCGATTGAGCAGTCACTAGAGTGGTGTGGTGGTAACTGAGAAGCTTTGATTTTGCTGAATGCTTCAGTGAGGTCAGCGTATTCAGTGGGTAATCCTGGAATGTCTGGGTTCTGTTCAGTGAGGATGATGGATTGTAATGGTAATGGAGTGATGGGAGTTAGACAGTGCTCATGGCAGGTGTTGTCCCAATGAATGATCTGACCGTCCCTCCAGGAGATGTGAGGGGTGTCACTGCGTAGCCATGGTAAGCCGAGAATTACTGGATTGTTGGGTGAAAAGATTATGTAGAATCTGATGTTTTCATGATGCAATACTCCCATCTGCATGTGAATTTCCTCCGTGAGGTGGGCAATTTTGCCCTTTCCGAGGGGTCTGCCGTCTAACGCCTCCACTGCCAAATGAGAGTCACAAGGAGTTAGTCTCAAATTATGTTGTTGAGCGAATTCAGCAGAGATGAAATTACCAGCAGCTCCTGAATCTAACAAGGCATTTGTAGAAATAATTTTATCTCCGCTGGTGAGAATTATATGAATTCAGCAAATGGCTGCAATATAACAAAGAGTGAAAAATTTAAGGGGGTCTGAATACTTTCCGTACCCACTGTATGTGTTACAATGTTTTGAGATGGCCGGCCTTTCCACAATACAAGCAAAGATGGTGTTGTAACCGTCGTTCTCGTTCTTCAGGTGTCAAGTGAGTATATCCGAGTTGCATGGGTTCACTATTGGATGCAAAGACTGGGGTATCGTTAACCAGAGCACGAACAGGTCGCCTTGACCTTATTAGGTTATCTATCTGGATGAATAATTCAATGAATTCGTTCAAGGTTCTTCCTTCATCACGACATGCCAGCTCCGACTGAAGTTCCAGACTTAATCCTTTTCGGAACATTAATTTCAAAGCATCCTCAGTCCAGTCTGTTTGTGCGGCGAGAGTGCGGAAGGATAATGCATATTCCGCTGCTGTCTTTCTCCCTTGGTTTAACGTGAGAAGTTGTTCACCAGCACTCTTGCCCCCTGCGGGATAATTGAAAACTTCTTTAAAGCGCTGTAAAAACACCTCAAAGGAGGGAAATGTTGAGCCGTCTGTTCTCCACACAGCGGTGGCCCACTCTAATGCCTTTCCAGTCAGTAACGAGCACACACAATAAATTTTCCCCAGATCCGTAGGATACAGCATGGGTTGTTGGTTCACAAAGAGGGAGGATTGTAATAGAAATCCCTTACATTTAGACAAATCTCCATCAAATTTGTCAGGGAAAGCAAGACGTGTACTTACAGCGGGGTTTTGGCTGGGCATGGCGTTTATTGGAGCGGCCATTTGTGCAGAGGCTGCTTCAGGTGCTGCTATGCGTAGACTCTGCAACGTCGTGACGAGTTCCTCGGTGAGAGAGGTGAGTCGACTGAGCTGGTGCTGGTGTATAGCGAGCTGATTAGCTTGGGCAGATAACTCTGTTGTCAATTGCCTGATGGCTGCTGGATCGCTAGTAGGCGAAGTCTTCTGTAATGATAAGTCTGCAGAGTGAGGATCCATTTGCAGTTTATTTGACAACAGAACAATAAAGACAAAGAGCCGTAAAGGCAAGATGAGGGCGTAAGCAGTACAGGCTAAGATTGGGGCAGGCGGCATAGAATCACAGTCCAATAAACAGATACGGGTCAGGGCAGGCGGCAGAGAATCCAGAAACGAGAAAGTCCATGTCACAACAGAATAAACAATCCACAATGAAGAAACGCTCAAGAGATGATCACCAAATCAAGACTTCACAAGGATGTGTGTGTGTGGTGTGATTATATGGAGTGAGTGTAATGACTAGCAGGTGTGTGTGTGCAATCAGTCCCAGGTATGTGGGCTTATGGGAATTGGAGTTTGAATGAGAATCAGTCAATACTCTGGTGAGGGTTCCCTCTGATGACACGGAGGAGGCGGTACGGGAGCCTCACTTGTGACATTTACAGTATAGCCTATTGTCAACATGCATTTTGTTTTTACTCATTTTTAAATACTATGTTATATTTTGCCCCCCCCAACTTGTTTGCACACATGAAGTATGTTACCTAAATTTATATTTTAATATATTTAAAGTTTTTATGTTGTATGACAAGCCCACCTCCCCCAGGTATTTTGAGCAATAGGATTATATAAAATTATTAAATAAAAAATATAAAAGTTAAAATTACAAAAAATAAACATTTATAGATCAGTACTTTAAGGGGTCATATGATGCGATTTCAATTTTTCCTTTCTCTTTGGAGTGTTACAAGCTGTTGGTGCATAAAGAAGATCTGTAAAGTTGCAAAGTCTAAAGTCTCAAATCCAAAGAGATAATCTGCCTACTTTATGTTCTAAATCTAAAAGGACTAATAGAAACAGACGTCACTGTGTGAGAAATTGGATTTGTGGCGTGAGTGCGTGAGAACAGTGTCAGTTGTGCGAGTCTCACGCTGAATGTGAGAGTTGGCAGCAATTTGCCGATTTAGTTGAAAAAATACTGACCTCGATTAATTGTTTAATTCATATGTATATTACGTTATTGTTACCCTATTGTGAATCTAGCCCTCATTTCAAGGATTTCCCTCTTTAGAAGTGCATGTGAGAGGCGTTTTTCTGCCCTACTCTGGTTGTTACACTCCATACAACCTTTTTTTCTTTTTGCTTTCTTCCGCTCTCATACCTCATTTCAGTTTCTTGTGCAGGTTCTTTTCGTATCGGCTGGTTTCTCGCACACGGTTTTTGCCAGTTGGACTAAAGGTACAGAACTTCTCTGAAACGTTGTCAACAGAACATAAAACAGCATCCCAGTGTGAGTAAGAAAAGCAGAGCGGTCAACTATGAAATATAATACTTAGCTTGTGTGTAATGGTTTCTTATATAAAACAGGGAAAACCAAGATGAAAAGAGAAGCATCAGAATTTTGGATTGATAAATCATTCTTCGATCTCTGGACGAGATACATACAGATACCGTTTTTAACAACAAAAGATTTTCTTTAACACTCGATTTGGAGCCACGATGCTCATTTATAATGTTTTATATTTTCGTTGAGTTAACTTTAATGATTTTTAAATACATAATCATATAAATGTCTATGAACTTACTTGCACAAATAACAATTTTTTTTTTTCAAATTTAAAACTGCCAATTTTAAAAATTGAAACGTAAACGAAAAATGCGCAAGTGTTTATGAAAATTTGTCAGCTTGTAATAATAACCTGTAATGACAATAATCTATATTAATAATAGCAGATTCAAATAGAAATGCTCACTTGCACTACAAACATTCTAAGGGAAACCTGTGTAAATTAATGTACATTTGAGATAGGCTACATTATAGCTTTGATAAAAAAAATAATACAGTAAGCATCTTCTCCATTGTGTGTTTCTTCTATGTCTACCAATGCTTGTTTTTTAAAAAATAGGCCTATGTGTAAAATTTGGAGGCATTACATATTTGTTGGTAATAGCTTGTTAAGCTTAAACGTAATGTAAGTGTCTTAGGCATTTATCTCGGATTACTCAAATTGAATGTTAATTGTTGAAATTACGAATATAATTTTCTAGTCCAAACATTTACTGTGGAAAAAAATAAGAACGGAAGAGAATGAAACAAACTTACTGAAGGGAGTAGCGTTTGTGGCTTGCATGTTTTTTTCCTGTAAGCATGAGCCTCCCTTCAAAAGCATGAGCCTCTTTTTATGAATAAAAATTTATTAATCTCTGATGTTTAAAACTCTGCTCATTTTCTTTTCATTGACCATATTTTTCAGAAAAAAGAATAGAATGGCAACTTGCAAGATCCTATTTTTTATCCTTCTGGTGAGCATAAATAAATTCATAAAGTGCATTGCGTCATTCTAAGATGTACAATACATTTTATTTTAAACAGTCTATAATTACTCTGCCTGTACAGCATTCTCTGTCTTGTTGTTTACCCTCCTTGCTCTCTATCCTTCCCTCCATCAGCACTGTGTATCTTGTGGGAAATGTGATTTGTTTTATAAGCAAGTCGGTGATGAGGTTTCCATGAATTGTGGATTAAATACAAACAGTGATATAGAATGGAAATTTAACGACATTCTCATCTTTAACATCAAAAGCAAAAGTGGAACTAAACTGAAGGGTATCAGTTTTTTCTCCTTTCGATGCAAAAATGATTTGAATATGAATTTTTGTGAGAAAGTCAAACTGTGATTGATTTTCTTTTTAAAGGTTCTTTCCATATTGCATCAAAAGCAAGTACAAACGGAGAAAATTTGAAGGTTCCCAGACTGGAGACAAGAGACTCTGGAAACTATTTCTGCTGGCAGTCAGGGTCAGTGAAACAACACACTGTTTATGTTGTGTCAGGTAAGAGACGACAGCAGTGGTTGTCATTTTTATGTTTGTATTTATTTATTTTTAGAATTATAGTATTTTTCATATTTACTCCCTTTTCTCTCTCAGTCTTTGCTAAACCAGGCTCAGTGCTGGTGCAGTCTAGTGATGCAGAGCTGCACTGTGACATTACAGGAAACCCAAATAAGGAAGTACAGTGGCTGAGACCCCCTAATGGTCAAATATATCATGAAAAAAATCAAGCAATTCACCTGAAGTCTGTGACTTCAAAAGATGCAGGCCAGTGGACGTGTCAAGTCAAGGATGACTTGAAGCTCAGTGTAACATTGATTGTTGTTGGTTGGTGTCACGCAGTAGTTGTTATTCAGTATGAATGTTTATTTATTACTATAATACTTCACATTGCATGCTGTCAGTGACATTTGTCTGGGTCTCCAGCAGGTCTCCAGACCACAGCTGTTAATGTTTCTGAAGGGGACGACACAGAGCTGCCCTGTTCTCTTCCTCAGAGTGTATCTCAGCGTCTTGTGGGTGGGAAATGGAAGGCTGACCACCTTCCCAAAGTCTCTTTCCCAACCCTGAAGAACACAGAAAACAAAGGCTTACACTGGAATGGGAAGGATTCAGAAAAAGTCAACTTTACTACTAAGCAACTCAGCACCAACTTTGATGTCACGTTGAAAAATGTGAATACCTTAAACTGTGTTAAGAACATTTTAATAACTTAAAGAACCCTTTTCCTGTATAAAGAACTATTTGTGGAATTGAAAAGGTTCCATGGATGTGGAAGTTTCTTCATGGAATCATCCAGGCCAGTAAAGAACCATTTTTTAATATGTTGACAGTAATGTCCCCTCATATTCTCTCAGGTGCAGCATAGCGATGCAGGGAGGTTTGTGTGTACAGTGGAGTTTGAGGGTGGAGCGAGTCTAAGTGTCGAGACGACTTTGAGGGTTGTGGCCAAACCTTCAGGTAAAACAAAACTACACCTCACAACTTTACAAAATCTGTCTTGTAGGGATGCACAATAAATATCAGAACCTTATCATTTAGAGATTAGTCAGTAACATATTGATATTGGACACTGAATTGTGTATGCTCATATACCATATATTTACATTTAGATTATGTTAGCTGTCTTCTAACTCTCACTTAAAGTTAATATTTATAATAAATAATAATTGAATAAATATATAAATATAATTTCCAATAAATAAATATAACTTCTTATATTTCTTGAGTTATTTTTAATTTAATTTGACAAAATATGCCATTTTAATATCAGCCATTTTTTGGTTATCGGCCATAACATGAAAATAAGTATTGGTATCAGTCAGAATTGTAATATCACTGCATCCCTATAGAAGCATGAATCTCATTCCATAATAGAAATTACGCTCTTTTATGTGCACTAAGCAAAATTCCACATAAAAGGTTCAGTCTCTGTTTGTAATGATTACTGAACAGGTGGACAGGTGTTCACTAAAGGGAAAGGGAAAACACCTGCATTTAAGGAAATCTTGACCAAGGATGTGTATGGGCTAAAGCTGTGGATCTGGATTGCTGTAGGAGCCAGTTCTGTGGTTCTTATCGGACTTATCATCGTGACTGTTCTTGTCCGACAAAGGAACAAACGGATGAAGGTGAGAGAAAGAAAGGAAGAAAGCAAGCAAGAAAGGAAATGGCTCATTTAATGTTTTTTTTTTTTTTTTACCTAGAAGAGGGTGAGGAAGCTGAGATCCATGCGGGAGCCACTTACAGCCAAAGACTACTGCCAATGCAACAGGTACTTCCTGTACTTCCATTACGCTGTGTAATACAATGATAATAGTATTACTAACAGTCAGGCTTACTGTAAGGTTTGTACAGCCTTTATATTGCCTTGAAGGGATAGTTCAAGCAAAAATGAAAATTTTAACCCAAAAGAAGATGTCTAATGTTGTAATTGCATTATATATTCTGTTAAAATGAATTTGACCTTATTTTTAATTTTTCAGTATTGGTTGGTGTTGGATATTTAATTGTTTGTGCTCGTTCCCCTATTTTTACATTTAGATTGCCTTTGCTTTTATTTATTTGCCTTAGAATGATGCCTACATTAATTTTCGAGAGATTTTAGTCTTGTTAAAAAAATTATTTTCACAAAATAGTGTAGAGTTTTAAGATCTGCCATTTATCAGTATTGGACTGAATATACGCGGATCCCTATTGTTTACACCATATTGTGTAATTACTGGTAATGTCAAAATGGATAAATGTAGGGATGTTATATTTACACAGTCCATATTTCCTATGTATTCTGGGGCGCAACAATGGTTTATTTCCTAATTTGTAGTTAACAGTTCATATAAGCTTAAAGCATAATTGCCCTAACTGCTACAGAAATCTTACTGCATGTGTTTTTTTTTTTTTTTAGAGCTGAGAATGAAGTGGAGTTGGGACAGGGAGTGAGGCCACTTCCAGTGCCCAGACAAGAGCGCTACCCACATACACGTACAGCAGGCCCAAACCACACCAACTGAGAGAAGCAGAGCGCAAGACCCCTAAAAAACACACCACGCTAGGCCTGTGCTTTTAAATGTGCTTCTTGCTTAATGATGCCAAATAAGACATGCACTTTTCAAAATTTGCTGTGGAACCAGGCTATAAATATGTGGTTTGCTGTACATTTAAAACAAATCCTGTTGCAGAGTATATAATATAAATATTTTCACAACTGTACTTTTTGAATGACAAGAATGCTGAATGTTTTTAAATAAAGTTTTAATATTCTTTTAACATGCTTCTGCATGTGTGGGCTGCTCTATGTGTGTGTATTTCCCCACATTTTAATGAGCAGAAACTGGTGCAGCTGGAATTGTTTTAGTTCACAGGTGTCCATACGTGTTCACAGACATCAAAACATACAGAAAAAATTGCATGTTTATTTTTTTATGCGCAGAAATTTGAAAGAATACTATCTTATGAAGAACTTTTAATCTGATTTTGACTTCAAAAGTGTGTCTGTGTGTTTTGACACACAGTATCAAAAAAAGGTACAATTCTGTGACTGCGGTGGTACCGGTACAAAATCTGAAAGGTACATCTTTGTACCTTATTTACCCCTAAATAGTACATATTACTACCTTAAATGTAAATATTAGTACTTTAAAAGTACATATTAGTAACTGAAGTGTACATATTAATATCTTTTGAAAGGGTACTGTTTTGTACCTTTTTTGGGTGTAGGATAACATAACGCACTATTTAGAAAAACAAAGAGAAAGGAGCTTTAAGAAAGGCTATCTGATGCAGACGGAGGGCCGTTGGTGAGATAAATGATGTGTGACACTGAAATGGGGTAAATCGTGCTGAAGAGTAGTACTGAAGTAAAACCAAAGGCATGTTACCACAGACACATGAGCGTAGAGCTGCGCAAATCACGTTGCAGTTTCCTGTCCTGTGTGTATGACAAGAGTGTGTTTGGAAGAAAATGTCAGTGTAGCTCTGAGACCCTGAACAGAACACACACGCATCTCATCACAACTGTAAGTATTGTTCTGTTACTATGACAAACACAAACCATGCTGCTTTTGGTTATTGGCCAGTCTGCATGTCTGCCATGTGTTTTCTCATATAAAAAGCCAAAAGTATTTTGTCTTCAGCTAAATGTCTGACACGAATGATGAACTATAAAATATTCCAAATAAAATGACAGTGGTGGAGATGAGTTTGTTAGTTAATGATATTCACAAGCAGCTTGTTTTGATCATTACAATCATATGGTCCCATATACTGTTTTAATTGTAGCGTGAAGTTTTGCTCAAACGTTTCGGATGCCGATCTTACGTTTCTGGTGTGCTGTTTGTAGTAATCATGTTATTGAATGATCAAATGTTCAATAATCATAGCATGAATAACCATTCGAAGAGAATTTTCAGGTGTACTGTTATTTACATACAAATATTTGAGGTTGTTTTTCAGATATTTTATCGCAAAATTATATGCTTTGAGTAATGCTTTTGTGTTTGGTAATGAGTGTTTGTAGATTACATCTTATTACTCTTATTACTGTAGCCATGAAACATTTGAAAGTTTTAGCCTTCATAATGCAGAATAGAATATTAACAAATATCAGGTGTTTTATTATCGTGTTTAAGTCTATCTGTTCTGTAGGCCAAGGCCTCAGTATGACCGTTAATTGAATTTTCTAAATTATTTGTTGTTGACAAGGTAGACTCTTGTAAACTGGATGAAGATTAAGTCAAAAATATTGCTAAGTATTGTTCAATTTTAGTGTTTTGTAGTTTGGTGCTATAAGCTGAATGTTTTTGAAGTTTCAACAGTTTTGTGATATGTTAAATGTTCACACAGTTACAGTGAATCAGTCAAATTGGATACCTTTTCTATTTGCCTTTTTGTATTTATGGCATTTAATTGAATTCATATTAGGTCACTGAGATAGATATAAAAGTAAAAAATGTGTACATTTAAGTAACGTAAACAAGTAGCAAATTTTCTAAACCTACATAAAACATAATTCACAAAATTAGACAATTTTTACATTTATACTGAAAAAAGTATTTTCATGTTTAAGTCACTGGTATATATCGCATATGAATATATTGGTTCAAAAATTTGCAGGATCCGGAATGTCGATCTTTCCTTATTATTAGTTTGATAGACTAACAAAAACTGAGGACAGCTTTTTCACTTAACAGCGATGAATTTATTTTAACAGACAACATCCTCATCCTCCACCAAGTTTTACTAATGAAAATCAATCCACATTAATTGCAGTTTATCCATTTTTTTTCTATCCAGTGCCCTCAAAAGTCAGACTTAAAAACTCATGTCATTGCATTAGATATAATATCAAATACAATATTAAAAATATCAAAGCAAGTGCGAACAAAATGCTGCTAGAACTTTGCTCTTTAACTATCTCTTCTGATTTATGCATGACATTGTGTTAGTAACGGCAAGGTCATAGGTTTGATTCCTAGGAGAACCTGATCAAATGCAACCGAATGCAATACAAGTTGATTTGGATGTCAAATGCATACACTAAAAACTGGCTTTAAGATGTTGTTTAGTGGCTGTATGAATTTCACCTTAAGGTTACACAGGTGTCTTAACAGATGAATCCACAGGTGTAGCTCATCACATTAACTCATCTGACAACCCAAAAGTATCTAAATACTTCTAGTCTTCATTTGAACAGTAAATCTATTGTATTATTATTTAATATAACTCATCAAATAGTTTGCTTGAAAATTGTCCTATTGAAAAAACAACAATGCCAATTAAATGTGATATTTTGTTATCTAATGCAATGATTTTCATATGTTTATGTGTGGCTTAGGTGTCCAAATACATTCTGAGGCTGCTTTATGAAAAATAAAAACGGATGCCCGATTTTAAAAAAACAACTGTGCGTCTTCGTCAGACATTACCGTCTTCTGTTGAAGATCTGGTTTTGTTCTCATTTCATAACAAATAAAACATGGAAGAGATGTAGGTCTGCTATCCCTCGCAACCACATTCATAAAAAAAATTTTTTTCAGGGGTTCATCTTTGTAACACATTGCATCCCTCATGTGAATAAAACTTGTGAAAATCTGCAAGCATGTCGAAGATGTCACATAGGCATTCTATTTGTCAGGATATACTATTGGACTCGCAAATGTCTGGGTATGGTTATCTTCTATGCTTTCTATGACATGCTAATTTTATTCTGAAAATATCATTATCATTCCAGCATGACTAACTTTACAGAAGTCTACTGACCTTAAGAAACAAAACAACTGTGTTTTGAACATGTAGTGGAGACAACTAAACTGTAGAAGCTTTATTACATTTTTGTCTCGTTCTGTCATGGCATGAAAAAATCAATTTACATGCAAATCATCAAAAACATCTTCCCAAAATTCAACCCATCAAGAGCACTTTTGACCTCAGTTAACGCTGCACAGTGAAATCACTGACATATATTTTTAATAATCACCACTTTATTTTAAGGTGACACTGTTACAATGTAATTACACAAGCAAGTATTGAATAATACTAATTAACTATACTTACTATATAGGGTTAGGGTTGGGGTTTGGTTTAGGGTTAGTTGCGTGTAATTATGCATCATTTACTTTTATTACTATACATGTAACAAGGTTAATAACATTACCTTAAAATAAAGTGTTACCTCATCTTATGTTTTTAGTTATTGTAGATACAGCAGTATTAATGATGACAGTGTAAAACAACAGATTAAAAGAGTGGATTTGGTCTCTGGCCGTTTGCTGTCTAATGCAGCGGCCTGTAGTTGCGGAACGGCTCTTGTTCAGTGATAGAAACATTTGTAGCACAGACACAAAATGCTTCTAGATACAAACTGAGATAATGAAAAAAAAATTGGCCAAAATGATTAAATGAGCACAATCATAAAATGTAATATCAGCTGTTTGCACACAACTTGCGTATATCAAATGCCTTACAATGGGTAATTTAATGTATTATGCACGAGACATACACAGCTTCAGTTTCTCAGGCAAGGATTTGCTTGGCCGTTGTCGAGATCTTTTGTTATCATGCTTTTCTGCCTATCTGGCCAATAACATAATATTGTGCTCAATATAATACATTACGTTTAAGATTATCCGTATAGCACAGAAACAGAAAGTACAGTATGTTGTTTATCAGTTAAAAAAAACTTTGAATGCAATAAGCCATTAGCCAAATACATACATACATATATACATACACAAAGTTAAATTTTGTGCATACATGCATTTACCTCATGCGTTTGAATGACGTACATATGCAATATGACATACACGTATAATAATCTTTAATATAGAGGCACTACTGCATTAACGTTCCAGTCATTAGATGTTTATACTGAAAATTGAAGGAATCCATGTGAATCAGTTGGACAAACTATGTGGAACAAGCCGTTAACTCCACAAGAGTGTAACATGTTTAGAGTATTTATTTCATTAAAATGTACAGAACTTTGAATTAATACCTTCTCATTACGTTGTTTCAGTAGCTGAAAATGTAATTATTTTGTGTTATCAATATAATGAAAGTCATGATTGATTGACAATATTTTATGTACTCTTAAATAAAGGCACGGGACAACAACATGATCTCTTGATCTTCTGAGAATTCATTCTGGCAAAAAACCTCCTCCCCTGACTGTAAATAATGAAAAATAAGCCAGTAATAGTCTTGAAATCATTAAGTCAAGAGAATAAGATATAAACAGCAAACCAAGTGAGAAAATTAAGAGCAAAATGTAGTGCATTGTCAAGCACAGAACACGTGTTTCACAGATTCTGCATCGCTGAATGTGGAATTGAAATAAAACATATTGTAAATGTGTTTTAATAGTCAAGAAAACAGGTGGTTTTCGGGTGATTCAGTGTTACATCACAATGGGCCAAAAATTAAAAAAAAGGGACCCCCTTTATTTTTATTGCTGCAGTACTTGACAATGATTGTGAAATGGTGACTTTAACAAGTCTGAAAATAGAGTGCATCTGTGATTGATTTTAGTGTTTGTGTGCTGCTGTTATGAAGGAGGGAGTGATTTTCATAATGAGAGCAGGATTCCCTCTTTCACAAAGTGTGTCATACAGACATTTTTCTCTATTTCTCATCCTCTCACTTCAGCTTTGTCCCACACACATACCACACATTTGGTGAGAGGGTTTTCCTACCTGACCCTTAGTTTTATTATGGAACAGAAAAGGCCATTCATTAGAAAGAAATCAGCAAATGTGGCTTTATGCATGACTGCTGTCAATGGATGAGGCATTCAACAAGTCCTAGTTAGTACGTTTTCGAAAATTATATATTCTTTTGAAAGTTATATTAAGTAATATTTTTAAACTCCTCTCAGTTTGTCACACTCAGGATGTCTAGTGATTTGTTCAACTCAAAATATAAACAACCATCATCATATCCAAATGTGAATTGCAAAAAAACTAAACTAAAATTCATTCAGAGGAACAAACTCCACGTGAAAATGAGATCACATAAATATAGGAAATTACACTTCACTGCAGATGACAGATTCCTGAAAATGAGTATGACCCTTTTTATAAGCATTTCTGTGACAATACATCAATAAATAAGGGCAGATTTCAGCAGAAAAAACACAACGTGCCAGAAATACAATGACGTGAACATAATTACGCAATGGAACAGAATCACCATCTGTACCATGAGGTTTCGAAATTTGCCGTCTAAAATATGATCTAATCTTCTGTACATTAAGCTAAAAATACACATTTTCGTAAGCATCAGACTAAATGTCAGTAATCTCTCTTTCTCTTAACATCTCTTTCCACTGACATTTAGCCGTGCTTGCATTTCAAACCTACAGGACTTCATTAAATGGAGGAGGTTTGTAACTGAAAACTCAAGAATGAAAGAGACAAATGCAATTTGTCTTCCTATGTAATTTCCACTCACTTTTCCAAAACACTTAGTTCACCATGTGAAACTCTTACTCTAGAAAACCAAAAGCAATGGCGTCCATCTTAGCCCTCTTCAGCGTTCTGCACGCCTCAGACCTCTTCAACATTTCCTACGGCCCACAGTCTAAGCAGATGTGTGTGTGTGAATCATTGAACGTTTCTGAGGATTCTGATCTGTTAGAGGGATCCCCTCTGGGTCACGTAACCATAGCGAACCTCTCACAATATATGCGTACAGTTCTCGCAATTTTAGCAGACCAGACGAAGACTGTAGATAAAATGAGAGCAAAGAAGAAAACTGCAGATTATTCTCCCCAAAAATACCTTGACACAAGTTATGTGTGGGAGACGAAAACAATATCAGTCCTCGGTTCTTCAGACGAGTACACACAGAAATGACTTGCTGAAGGGGAAACACGTAACGAAAACCTGTATGGGACATATTGAAATAAATCGCCCACTTTTCCTGCTTGCTTTCTTTCTCTCTTTCAGTAATGATTATGTTGGTGTCTCAACACCTTTTCAGTCTATGTGAGTAATGAGGGATCCCTCTAAAATGGGTCTTTCCTTTCAGCTCTGAGAGAAAAAGGATAAATACTTAGATAGATAGACAGATAGATGTTAATGGTGATATAAAGAACTGTGTGAAGCTAAAGGTATTTTTTGAAGAAGACGAACAGAGCACGGCAGGAAGAGAGAGAATGGCAGAGGGGTGAAACCTCAGACACAGATGTGAGGCAGGCAACGTGTTTGTTTCAACCTTCATGTGGTTCCCCTTAGCAAACCACTCCTGTCCTACAGCTCTGAAATATGCTCTAGAGTACCTGTCGCTCTCTCGCGTTTTTCTTTAATGTAGTTATTCTTCTACAGCAGGATGCTTTATTCAACCTTAAATCTGTTACAGTTTTACATACTGATGGCATTGGAGAATCCACAAAGAACTTTTTTGGGGTCTTAACAAAACCAGGCAAAATCAATGAGCTGGTGCTTAGACCTGAAGAACTCATAATGTGAGATGATGAGTTTCTGCATTTCCAAAGAATTTAGCCCCCCCACAAAATAAATAAATAAAATGGTTGGTGACATATTGAAATAAATCGCCCACTTTTCCTGCTTGCTTTCTTTCTCTCTTTCAGTAATGATTATGTTGGTGTCTCAACACCTTTTCAGTCTATGTGAGTAATGAGGGATCCCTCTAAAATGGGTCTTTCCTTTCAGCTCTGAGAGAAAAAGGATAAATACTTAGATAGATAGACAGATAGATGTTAATGGTGATATAAAGAACTGTGTGAAGCTAAAGGTATTTTTTGAAGAAGACGAACAGAGCACGGCAGGAAGAGAGAGAATGGCAGAGGGGTGAAACCTCAGACACAGATGTGAGGCAGGCAACGTGTTTGTTTCAACCTTCATGTGGTTCCCCTTAGCAAACCACTCCTGTCCTACAGCTCTGAAATATGCTCTAGAGTACCTGTCGCTCTCTCGCGTTTTTCTTTAATGTAGTTATTCTTCTACAGCAGGATGCTTTATTCAACCTTAAATCTGTTACAGTTTTACATACTGATGGCATTGGAGAATCCACAAAGAACTTTTTTGGGGTCTTAACAAAACCAGGCAAAATCAATGAGCTGGTGCTTAGACCTGAAGAACTCATAATGTGAGATGATGAGTTTCTGCATTTCCAAAGAATTTAGCCCCCCCACAAAATAAATAAATAAAATGGTTGGTTCTTGTTAAGAATGGCGTTCTTTGCCGAACACAATATGCTGCAAAGAATGACTGAAGTATCTTCATTTTTAAGAGTGCAGCTTGTTTAGATAAGTGTGTATTAAGACTTGTGCATTGCTTATGGGCTCCTAAATCCTCTGTAACGCAAATTTAACACAACAACCAGAATAAGACTTATAAGTCAATAAATGTACACTTAAGAGGCATTTGATTTGTTGAGTGGCAAATAATAAATGTAAACAGTGAGCAGCACTAAAGAGAAGTACTGTGCAGAAAGATGCTGACTTGACTCGAAACTAAAACAGAACAACCATAAGAATTTTTCTCCAATGCCTTCAGAAAACAAAAACAAAAAAACATAGTTCTCTTTTACTAAAAACCACTTGGTTGACCATTGTATTCCATAAGCTTTCATTTCAGTATTTGTTTCATTTGTTTTCCTCTATGGAACCGCATTGGTTAAAATCAGTTCATCTTATAGCAGAAGTGATACATTACAGAGAAACCTTCTTTCAGGTTTAAAAAAAACAGGCAAGTTAACCTATTGGATTTGTCCATTTTTAGAGGAAGTTGAGTTGTGATAATTTACTGCATTTTAATAATATCAGAAACAGCAATCTTCAGTTTGCAGATCTATATTTGGAAATGCATTTAAATCAGCATTTGCCTCATAATTGCATATTACATAAGTATGCATTAAATGATAATAATTGGATTCAAAGAATTTACACTCAACAAGATCACGAGTCGCATTTGCACTTTCATATCTTTTTCAAATACTGTTCCTCTTTTCTGTTTTTCAGGCATTTTTTAAATGCTCGGAAAAATAACAGATTGAGAAAATCTTTCTTGCAATTTACAGTACTGGACATCTTTGAATTTTATTGAAATTCTCTGTTAAATCAAATTTATCTGTGGACATACAGTCATCCGTTTTAAAGTCTGATGTGGGGTTATATGCTGATTTAGCACACTGAGGTCGTTTGTAAAGGTTACAAAGATTCACGTTCTTATACAAATTGCAATGAATTATCTGTTCATAGTGCAGGCGTTATATGTTGTAACATTCCACCCATATTTGCTCAAGACATATACGCACTCGGGGATTCAGATGAAGGTTGATAATAGAATGAAGCATCTCTTTGGATCTCTTTAAACAAATAATAGATTTTAAAAATGCATAATTGTAAGGACAATAGAATAACTCAAAAAAAAAAAACAGGAATAAAAAGAAATGTTTTAGAGTTTATTCTGTTGGACTCGGAGGGTCAGCACTGATTAAGAAGTTTATTCTAAATAAAAAAGTGTTTTTAAATGGAGTAGATTAGATTATTAAAAATGATCAATAGCTTCGTAGCAATGCTCATGGTTACTAGGACACTGATATTTTAAAAAAGTATATAGACAAGATAAAGTCAGTTATACAATAATGTGGCAAACAAACAATGAAAAAAAAAGAAAAAGAAAAAAATAAACCCCCGGACAAGCTTAACAAAAAATTACACAAAAACTAGCAGTTCAAAATAAAGTAAAATAAACAATGTTTCAGAGAACACGTTGTTCTTTACATGATAATCAAATACATCCGTTACGTACTACAGCCCAGAAAAACCTACTCAGAAAAAAACTTTTTTTGAGCGTAACACAGCGATGTCTAATTTTTAAAATTGATTATAGGAAAACATTCCAGTTTTATTCATTAATTTTATTTAATGATTGTCATTGAAACTTTTCCCACATGGATCTGACTGTAAAATTCTCTGTTATTATACATTTATTATGAATTTTTATATTGGTCTAACAATAATGTTTTGGAGGGAGAAATAATGTGGTTAGAAAAAATAATTATAATAAACATTTACAAGTGACAACTCGTTTGACAACTCAAGATATTCAGTGGAAATATGTATAGCCAATTTTATTTTTATTTTTTAGAAATCTACTTAATTCAACAGCCTCATGTCAATAACCGGACGTCTTCTTTTACCTCTCAGGCCAATCAGACTGAGGGGAGGCGTCAACAGAATTTAAATATAAATATTTTGGCCTGTAAGTGAACACATCCGCTGCACAACTTTGAAGAGGAACGATAAAGAATTTTGCTCATAAGGTGAGTATATTTATCTACACATGGCAACTTTAATTACTTTTTATTATGGAGGATTTCATTTAATCTGTTTTTATGTCTTCACAAGATCAGAATAGGGATATTGTAGCATACAGAATATATTGTACATTGCTGAAAACTTGTTTCATGTTAAAGTTTCAAACAGAAACTTGAATACCTTCCAATACACAATATATAACATTAGACATCAAATGTACGGGATGTAAAACAAAGTATATTCAGTGCAAGCGATGCTGAGGGTAGCTGTGAAAATGATCAGAAGGATTGTCTTCAGCTCTGTTATAACATGAACAATTAATCACATACGGGACATTAGAACATGAATGTTTCTATTTCCACTGTGTTTAGTTTTAACTAAACTTTAAAATAGCTTGGAATTTCATCAGAATAATTTCTCTTAATCTCTAAGATTCATAAAAAAAAACAAAAAAAACCAGACATGAATGAAAATGAACATGCTTAATCTATCAAGTCCATTAGTTTGTTTTTTCTAAAAGTTTTGCAGGCATTTAGAAATTGAAGTTCTTGGTTTTACTAATGTTCCCCTCCCTTCTCCTCCATGTCTGTGCGTCTGTTTGCTGTTTAACCTGCATCCTGACCACAGCCCTGATCATCTGTCTTTCTGGGTTACTTGTTCAGGTGCAGTCTCTGGCTGTCTTTATCTCTACATCTATCGTTGCGTTTCTTTGTGTGCATCTCCTTCCTCTGTTTCTGTTTCTCATTCTTCACAAACTTTTCTCTCATTTCTAACACATTTCTGTGCTCCACTGGAGACTTAAAACTCACAAGGTTACAATTTAGATATTTGTGTAATAGATGGCAGCAAAATCAAGGCAATTCTGAATTAATTCTGAATCAGAGCAATAAAAATATTTAGATCTTACATACAAATGGTTGAAATTATTATAATTGTATGTCTCAACTAATGGTTTTACATTTATTTTTATTGATTTAGCGGCTTACATTCACGGGATGCAACCACTGGTCATTGGGTGATACTGATTCTATTTAGCCGTTGATAACGTGTCTGCAAATCTGTTTTTGAAAATGGCACTTTTTCATACTGAAATTCACCATTTTAAATTCAGCCAAATCATAGACGCATAAATAGCCTGTACCACGAGGCCAACGTGAATATTTAGTACCACACTCTGCATGAAAATGTATACTCCCTATGGCTAATTACGCATTATTGTGGATTTTATGTTGTTGGATTTTTAGAACTTTTAATAAAAATTTTACTAGCCTGAACAGAAAGTCACAAACTGTTCTACGAAGCATACTTTTGCGTACTATATTGCTGCAAATTATGCTGCAGAAGTTGTATTTACTAAACATACTTAGCCTACTATAAAAAAAACACATTTGTCACAAGAAAGAGCTATGTTATTTATCAATAATATGCGTGTAGCACAGCATAGCTAGATCTTGTTTTATTTTATATAGAAATTCAATGATTCATTCTACAAATCTTGAGACACTTTTTTTTTTTGGTGGTTCTCAGTGGTGAACAGGCAAAAGTAAAAAAAATTATACAAAATAATTTTAAGACTAAAATCACTAAATATTAAAGTTGGAAATGGAACAATATATTTGCCTGTATATGATTATTTCTAAGGATTTTCTTAAATGTGCATTTAAGTTTGAGCATCATTTACATTTATTCATTTGTCAGACAATTTATCCTAAGCGACTTTCGTTGCATTTAAGTATATTTTTACATTTCATGCATTTCTTGGTAATCAAACCCAAGACCTTGGTGTTACTAGTTTAGGAATCAAAAGGGTTTACAGAGCGTAACAAATAAATTAGGTGTCTGCATTTTTCTAGTGTGAAGTGTCAATCTCTTCAAAAGGAGTAAAAAGAAAGATTTGTGTGAATCACATGCACAAAAAGAGAAAAAAAGCAAGATCAGATATAATAGGCATATCACACACCGCACTCCAAGCTCAGTGACACCACCAGCAGTGCCATGTGGTGTTCTTTTTTCTGTGTGTAAGCGTGGAGAGATCCGCCTTTCGTGGAACAAGGGAGGAAGAGAGGGGGTGATATGGAGGAGGAGGAGGTGAAGAGGTGAAAACGAGAGGGATAAGAATCTACTCCCTGTACAATCTCAGCCCACCACAGACACACCTCTAGCTGTCTTTTTCTCACCGTCTTTCTAGCTGTTGTTCTTTCATGTTTCTACACTGGCACTCGTCTACCTTTATGTCTGTAACCCGTAGCCCACCACAAAGTTTCCGTCTCCCCCTCACTATCCGGCACTCTTACGGTTTCTCTCAATCAAAAAAAATCTGAGCCCACCACAAGCCCCTTCCTTCCTCTGTATTTTTATGCTCTTGGTGACAAATTTTCTATGGCTATGGTTCACAGATCCCCTCCATCCTTTCTGGTTCTGCTCTGAGGACAGAATGATGTTGTGCTGGATACTAATATCACTGTTTGTTGGATTTCTTAAAGCACAAGGTCAGTGGCAATCTTAATAGTTGTTATATGCTGAAAAGTGTAAAATGCAGCCTGAATAAGAATTCTTTTCTGTCCAATATGTTCTTCTATCATTACAAAACCCAGAAGTAATTTACGCACAGATAGGAGGGACTGTTACCCTACCTAGAGAGAACATAGAAGCAGGAAATGCTTATGTGAACTGGTACCGCGGGAACGACGAATTCATAACTATCAGCAGGAATCCTCAGGGTGGAATCCAAAGGGGTGAGATGCATGATTTTGAGTTTATGCATTTTCACTCTACAGTAATAATCAGGCTATCATGTTTAATATAACTGCACATGTATGTTGGTCTTTTGTAGGTAAAGAAACGAAGACACACGCCGATCTGTTGCCAGATTTCTCTCTTAAAATCTCACCAGTACAGGAATCAGATTTTGAAATTTGGCGCTGTGAACAATATGTATTATTAAAAAAGTTTGAAAAGACCTACAAACTGTACCATGGTAAGAGAGACAGTGTGTACAGAGATTGTGTGTGTGTGTGTGTGTGTGTGTGCGAGAAACTACAAGTAGATAATTTTTTAGTCACATCATTACTTAAAGGGACAGATCACCCAAAAATATGTCACCCTCATGTCGCTCTTTCTTCTGTGGAGCACAAAAGAATATATTTTGAAGAATGTTTTGAACTGTTTTTGTCCATACAGTGAAAGTCACTGGGGTCCAGAAACAGCATTGGACCATATCGTATTGGCAAAAAAAAAAAAAAAAAAAAAAAAAAAATATCCATACAAATGTTGTTTTATTTTGCTGAAAATACACCCAAGCGACTTAAGACGCAGTTTTGTGGTCCAGGGTCACAAATAGTCTGTCTGCTTACATTCAAGCCTTCTCTCTAATATTCGGTATTTACCGCAGAATCACTTGGTATAAAGTTTAGATAAGCAAAACTGGTTACAAAATTAAATTAAAAACAAAAACATGTCACATTCATTTTGTCAGAATGAGTATGATTTTAACTAATGTCACGGATTGGATAGCCGTATATATATATATTTCAAAATATCTTTTGTGTTCAGCAGAAGAAAGTCAGACTAGTTTGAATAAATAACAGATTTTTACTTTTAAGGTGAACTATCCTGTTAAGTGCTATAATTTAAAGGCACAATATGTAAGTTTTCGCCGCTAGAGGGCGCCTATTCAAAACAAACAAAGAAACAAAGGCGTAGTTTGATGATGCTGTGACTGTGTGGAGTTGTCACGGGATCATGGGAAAACAGGGAGTCATGGGAGTTGTGGTCTTCATCCCCACAGCCGATGCAATCCGATGGTACTCGGGCAGAAATCATGTTCATGGATGAGCTAATGATTTATTAACGTAGTAGAATGAAGCAGGGTGAGGCTGAAAGCCGTCGAAGTGAAACGAGGCCGACATGTTGTACTTGGTCAAATCACGTTCACCCACAATGACACTATGGACACGGCCCGTGTCACTAGTTAAAATAGCTTATTTCTCTGGATTTAAACATTCTTCAAAACATTTGGGATAATGTAAGTACACAAGTCAGCAAAATATATAACACTGTTCTAGTAGTTTTTGTATATTTTAATTAAAAAAATCTTGCATATTGTGCCTTTAATTTCCACAAAATTAAGGTGAGAATTAAAATGAGTATTTCTATCAGTTCGTTTTTCAAATATGAGGAAATGACACTACACCTACTGTTGAACTCGATTCAGGATGTGAACACAGAAGTAAACTTCCCCCCTTTGTCATTCGGCTGAACTGCAAAAACAAACAAACAAAAAAAGCATGACAAATTAATCTATTCATTTAAACTACAATCATCTATCTCCATGTTACTCACATCAGACAATGAATTAATTGTGTAATATGTCCACTACAATTATATTAACGTAAATTCTGCACTGCATATTTGGCAGTATGAACAGAATTAAATCAGTTAATCCAGTTACGCACACACACTCTTTGACATTATTGATCATTTGTGGTGTAGGCTATAACTTTCACAGTACATGATAAGATTCCTGTAATGTTGTCGTATTCCACCTTTCAACATTTTTTTCCTCTTTTTCAGTCACTATACCCAAAGTGCCTGCTGTGATGGCTGGCGACTCTCTGTCTCTGGAATGTAAAATGGACTCTAGTCCAGTTAAACCCGAAGTAAGATGGATTCCACCTGAAAACTCAGATTGTAATCTAAGGAATCTTTACGGCGAGAAAATTGAAGTCAAAGGTGTATCTAGATGTCATAGTGGTGTTTGGACATGCAAGTTGGAGTATGGTACGAGGAAAACCGAAGCAACAACAACTGTTTCTGTAATAGGTGAGATTATTGTGTTATTAAACTCTTTCACTCTCTCTTTCCCAATGTATCTATCCATTTACTTGAGTTTGCTCATTCTTAGAGTTGCTTACAAAGCAATAAAGAATATACTGTAGGTCTACAATACACAAAAAAACATACACAATGATTACAGTCAGGATCTATAAGGGGAAGAACGAATGAATGAGAGAGCACTGATAAAACCTTTTTAAATCTCATTTTTTCTTTTTCTTTTTCTTGTAAGGATAACCCTAAATATAAGTATATAATATGCAAATATAATTGCTGCAATTTATATAGACTACTTCATTAAATAATTCAAAATAATTTTGAAAGAAAGAAAGAAAGAAGCCATATAGAACATTTTTGCTTTTTATTATTATTTTCTTTGCACAACAACAACAACAACGTTTCCTTTATTTTTATCCCTTTTCCTCCAGACCTCTCCCGTTCTCCAGATACCATTTATACCTCGTCCTCTAAAGTCAACATTCCTTGTTCTTTGTCTTCTAACATTCCCTGGTCCATCTTGAAAGAAACTGGTCTCAGGGGTGGTAACTGGAGCTTCACTCCTCTCAGCGATCCGAAGTTAACACAATCTCTCCTCAGCCTTAGTTTTGATCCGGTGGTCAGATGGAACGACACGCAGCACTCAGACGGTACTGTCAAGGACAAGGGAAGAGAGTTGAAAGACCAGGATCTGTCGATTAATCTGCCTGTATCAGAGAACATAAGGGGGGTTTACACATGTGATCTGATATTTAGCACCAAGACCCTCAGCAGAAAAGTCCAGGTGGAGGTTCTGAAGGGTAAGTGAAATGACAAATCTTAGGGGTCTAGTAACTAATGAACTAACTACTAACTTGTTTACTTTCAGTCAGTAGTGTGACAGAACTATAATAATGTAGTTTTCACAATAATGAGCTACGTTTTCCAACAAGTACCCTACAAAATGAAACATTGCTGTTTGTTACTTTGTTACTCATGCTGTGCTTTTGCTTCCCAAACAAGCGATATTCACCAAACGGACTTTCTTGTCATTGCAGTCATGAATATTTACTTATATAAATAACCATGTGATGCAAACTGTATCATGTAAATTAACAGATAAAAACAACCCATTCTCATAAAAATACGTACCTCTGCGTACATTTCTGCAACACCGTTTTTACGTACCTTACTGCACGTTTCGCCGCAGTTTCAAAGAGAAATGTCCACTGAGTGGCGCTAAAACACGGGTTCAATACGTCAACCCTGGCACGTTTTTATTACGTTGATATAGGTAACGTTAGGCCTACGTATTGCTGTGTTTTTATTACGTTTCTTCAGGTACGTATTGCGGCGATTCAGAATTCAAATATCCGGGGACTGACGCTAAAAGTTAATGCTCTATCGTGTTGGAAATATGCCCTACACCAAACCCAACCCTAAACCTACCCGATAGTGTTAACAAATGCAAAACTGATATAAAAACACATTTTTTGATGCAACCGTGCCATTTTAACTTCCTTATATGCAGATTTGAACTGTTTTGTTGAATCGTAGTTACACGGGATTCGAACCGGACCACCTCACTTCTCAAGTACGTCTCCGTACTCCGTAAGCCACCGAACAAACCTATCGTCTTTGAAAACCCATTGATATGAAGCTGGATATGTGCGATGCTAACAATCATCGTGCTAACAATCATCGTGCGCTTGCGCGTGCCTCAAAAGAGGGCTTACAATGACTTACAAAGATACATAACAGCTACAAGTACGTATTTCGCGTCTTGCAAAATTGTGCCCCCAGGTACGTATTTGCCATGAGACCGGGTAGCATAAAAACATATTCAAGTGGTTGACATTTTTGCTTGTTTTTTCTCTTTATAATCAAATATTTTATTGAATGATAGGACAATATTTTTAGATCCTACATGCATTAAAGTGTTGTACTTGTAATCTGTTTAAATTTAACGCCGTTGTCATGACAAATCGAGTCCTTCTTTGAAATTTGGTCTCCATCAAGTGCACTAGAAAAACTAGTAAAAAAAAAAAAAAAGTCCAGTAACAGTCTTGCGAAGATAAAATACCACTAGTATTAGTCTGGTCATATAATCATATATAAAATAAAAAAAGAGATTTTATTAGTCAATTAATACAACTGTTGTCACCTCAGAGATTTATTAAATGTTATTCAAAGTAAAACTTTAAGTGTTCTTTTAAATTATGAGTAACTTGTAGCTTGAAGTTGATTCCCCAACAGTGGAATAAAGGATTACTGTGCATTAACTGTGGCTTGAAACAGAGAGTGTTTATGTTTTTGAGACTTTTCTTACTGCACTTACAATGCAAACATCTCTTGCCTTATTTAATCTAAACTCTCTAAATTTCTCCTTCTATTAGTTTCCTCTTCTGGAGGTTCTCGAGTATATGAAGGCCAAAGTGTGAATCTGACATGCACATTAGGACATCACAATACCTCCGGCCTCGGGGTGAAATGGAATTGCTCGTCTTGCTCCGTTTTTTCCGGTCTCAACCCTCATCCATCTACTTTGTCCATACCTGAAGTGAAAGTGGAGCACAGTGGAAAATGGACGTGTGAACTCTGGAAAGAGGGGAAGAAGCTGACATCTGCTGTGCTATCATTAAAGATTGGTAAGAGAAGTAAAAGACAGAGGGAGAGAGTGATACATGTGCAATAACAAGTGAGTAAAACTTCTGCTGTCAATAAAATGTTTCACAGAGAAAGCTCCAGTGGACATCTGGCTTTGTGTTGCCATCAGCAGTGGAGTCGTGGTCTTCATCTTGCTCCTTGTGATCATCATCAAATGCATTCGCAGACACAGACAGGTTAATGTTCACTATGATACTCAGTGCAGTTTTATCCAGTTCAGCACACTAGGCCATCATTTATAAAGTGTTTTAAAGGTGAAAATCAAATGCCTTATACATTTTCTTTCATTCTTCTTAACAGGTGATGATGTACAGACGACGCAAAACCAAATTCTGCTGCTGCAAAAAGTGAGTTTGCTGGTTGTTAAAGATGCTGCTTTCAAAATAACACATACAGTTGCCCTAAGATTTATTTAGACACTTAAGCCACACTTAAAATGTATGGATACCATTGACACTTGAACTGACATTTATTTTTTAAATATGGCACAAATACACTTGTTTCAGGAATAAAACATTTGACAAAAAGCAGTTTTAAATGATAAATAGATATACTGTTCAATATTTGGACAATTTTCAGTTGCTGTATGACATGTTCATTGTGGTTACTCTGATAGGATAGCTGTTTAACTGACTTGAAATAAGTTGGTTTAAAAAAATTAAATATTTTGCAAATATCACATTTTGCTTACTAATGAAATGTAATCCCATTTACATACAATAGTGTCCAAATACATTTTGTAGTTACTGAATATATGATTATATGAAGATAAATCATCCTTAAAATCATATATATATTTTTTTTATCTGTCTCAGTCCCCAGCAGAATCAAATGGGATTCTACAAGACGTGAGGATCTTCTGCTTTTCATTTTTATAATCATATTAATGTACAGTTGCCTAAACAAATCCTCCTGTGCCAGAACTCATGGTCTTCATTGTGCAGATGATGCTGGAATTTTTTTAATTATTTTGTCAAATACTCTCATAGACACTTTATATACTTGAACATGCTTGATCACAAGCTATGTTATATGCAACTCAAACAATATGCTGTATCTCTTTTGGTGTATATAACATGATATAATTTGTTTGGAAGATAAATGTGCAAAAAATTTGTTATTTCCTATAACATAGTACAATACAAAATAAAATGTTGCTATTGTAATCTAGGCACAGTGAAATTATTTGTATATTTTTTATTACAATTGCCCAAAGTGCCTCTTTACAGTGGGTACGGAAAGTATTCAGACCCCCTTAAATTTTTCACTCTTTGTTATATTGCAGCCATTTGCTAAAATCATTTAAGTTAATTTTTTTTCCTCATTAATGTACACACAGCATTTTCATCCACTCCTGCTTTACTTACCTCCTTATCTTTTGACTGCTCTTTTACATTTGTAAATTAACTTTTTTTGTATTTGAGAAAGAAAGCAACTAAAAATATTGATAAAGTAAAATCAAAAATACTTGATGAAACAAAACTGTATGATCATTCTCACTCCAAAATGTCATTTAAACCACTAATACAAAGCTTGTTCTCATTTGAGCCACTACTGTCTGCAGTCTCATCTTGTTTAATCATGTAGTAGCTACATAAACACTTAAAGGCCCGTTCACACCAAGGACGATAACTGATAAAGATATAGTTCTAAAAATCATTCTCTATATTACAGAATAGCAGAGTTCACACCACAGCTATAACGATAAAGGCACAGAGAAACGATATCGTTGGAATCACTTCCAGAACGATTTTTTTTCCCAGCTGATGAATGATTAAAAAAAATTGACAGCCAATCAGAATCCATCCTGCTAGCACGAGCTCGAGAATTTAAAGCGGCGGAGGAGCTTGCGCTTAAAACAGACAGATGATATCGTCCGCTGGTGTGGACGCTAATATAGTTATTTTATAGTTATCGTTCTTGGTGTGAACGGGCCTTTTTGAAGTGTATACAGGATAAATAGATTTTTCTCCACTAGATGGCAGTCATTAAAGGGGTCATATGATGCGATTTAAATTTGTCCTTTCTTTTTGGGGTGTTACAAGCTCTTGGTGCATAAAGAAGATCTGTAAAGTTGCAAAGACTAAAGTCTCAAATCCAAAGAGATATTCTTTATAAAAGTTAAGAGTCAGCCACGCCTACCTAAAACGGCTCGTTCTAACACGCCCCCACATGTCTACGTCACTATCTGGGAAGATTTGCATAACGTCGCCCAAATGTTCACGCAAAGAAAGAAGGCGTAACTTTTATTCTCGCTGTAGTATTGTTGCTGCCGCCGCCTTGTCGTGAAGGCGCTGTGAAAGCGAAACTACTTTGTTGGGCCTTCCAAAAGAGGACGATATCTGCTTCGTCATGCCTGGAGCTGATCCGTGCTGGTCGCTGAGGAAATACATCAACTTAGTGCTGTGGATAGCAGCATCATATGACCCCTTTAAAACGCATATCATTGCTGATGTTTGGAGAGAAATGCTGGAACAACCTGAAACCAAACAGTTAGGCCTATCAGTTATAGAAACTACAGCCTCTCTTATTATGTCAGATATGAGACAAAAATGCATATAATTATTTAGTTGTATTGAATTAATAATATTATCTTTAACTATTCAAAACAAGTATCTACAAAAAGTGGCTCACAATGTAGCCTACTAACTACAATTGTAATACCTTACAGGTCACTGAGCAAAATGTAATCAGCAATTTATTTATTTATTTATTGCTGTGGTGCAGTAATATTTCCTGTCTGCAGGTTTATTTATTTATTTATTGCAGTGATGCAATAATATTTCCTGTCTGCAGGTTTATTTATTTAGGCTATTATTTCACGTAGCACAGGAAACAACATGTGTAGTGAGTATGGTGACTCACTACACATGTTTTTTTTTTTTACTGATGTAATTTTGCCACCTAACAATTAGCACTGCAGAGCACTTGCGTTTTTAGGGAGCACACATTTATCTTAGCCAACTTCAGAACTGGAAAATAACGGACAATCGTGGTTTTTCATAGAAAAACAAGGGACAGAATAAGGGACACACACACACACACACACACACACATATATATATAAACAAAATGTCACAAGAGCAGTTCTTTAAGGGGACACAGATGTTTTGCCTTAATTAAAGCCTAATTGCCTTAATATGGGGAAGTTTTGGAGTTCTGGTACACTGAAAAATTTACTTATGCGCGTCCGCTTTTCTCTGTCATTTTATTTGGCAACAACACAAACCCATAGTTGTTTAAATATGAGTTAGGTTCATTGGTTCACCACACGGTCATAAAAAAATCCTTAAATGCATTTTGCCCATGTCGATTAACTGGCAAAATACCGGAAGTGGCGCATTCCACGGATGAGAATCCATGAAAAGCATTATTAGACCGTTTTCTAAGGCAGCACGAAATATTGAAACTATTACAAAATCATAATAAAGCATAGTGCTATTGTAAATTCAAAAAGGCTGCGATTTAAATAAATAAATATATGCGCTGCGGGTTTAATATGCACTTTATTTCTATGTGTGTGGGCTATGTAGGCTACCTGCGTCCCAGAGCGGCTCCGTTCACAGTAAATGCTGCTCCTCACGAACTTATCATTTTACATGCATGGACCGCCTCAAACTCCATCTTTACATATTGTGATTGAACTATGTGCACCATTCTATCAGATTTAAAAGGTAACTTATTTATAAACCTGTACCAACACAGGAGAAATCATTATCTTTCTAAATATGCTAACCTTAGCTGTTCATCTCGATTTCAAAATAAAAGCTCAAGCCCACGCTCTGAGTTTGCATGTTTTGAAGTCAACATATTCTTGTTCAAGAAATGACAGTGGCTGTAGTATTTCTATCATAAAGAAGTGTCAAAAATTAAATATTAAGCGGACATTTGAATTAATTGTTGTTTGGTCGATATTAACCAAGGATTAACGTTAGATCGTGCTGTAAAGTGTAAAAACAGTCGTCAGGCCGTTGGCGCCCTCTGCAGGCATTTGATATAATGCGTAATATAAAGATTATATTGTTTTATTATGTATTTTAACGGTTTTGTTCAGTAAAACCATATAATTACTTGCTCTTGATGTTTTATTTGAACCATTTATTATTGCCTCATTGCTATTATATGTATATTAGTTGACACAGAATAGCATAAGCAGTTTAGGTTCAGTGGATATTCTCCAGAATGGACGTGGAGGAGACGAATTGTTGAATAAAGTCGTTATTTTTGTTTTCTTTGTGTACAAAAAGTATTCTCGTAGCTTCTTAAATTGCGGTTGAACCCTATAAACACAAGAAGTGCTAGTAATGCAACGTTTCAGACATTGTTTAAAATAGTACAGGGAGGATTAACCCAACAAACATGAGAGGTCGGCCCGACGTGCAGATCATGTCTATATTGCGTCGGTCGGTCCAGGACCGTATCTGTACGTCTAGTCGACGTGCAAATCCAGTGGTATCTGGACGTCTGACTACGACGTCCCTTGGACGTAGAAATGCAGGTCAAAATTTGAACGTCTGACTAGGAGTTTTTTTTGGACGTCTGTACAACGTGCAGAACAGGTTCAGGAAATCGACGTAAGAACTTTTTATACAAATAAACATGACAAAACAATCCTGTGAGTTCTGATAAAAAAAAAATTAAACATCACATCTATTTTTTATGAAACATGTAGGTGTTAAAATAGTGTAATATTTAAATGTTTAAAATGTGTCCATTTAACTTTTTTTATGAGTGGTATGTTTCTCTGGGACATTGACAGAAACAGCCGTTTTCATCTATGTGTGATGTATTAGATCTATTAATTAAATATAATTAATTACATTAAATACATTTAAAATAAAATAGATTAATTAAGTTAAATAGATTCAAAGAGATAAATAGAATTAAATGTAATAGATAAAAAGATTTAATAAATATTTAATAATACTATATAATATTTATTATATTATTAACATTTATTACATATTATAATATAATAAAATAGATTAGTTAAATTAAGTTAAATAGATTTAAAAGAGATAAGTAGATATAGTATTTATATATAATATGTATTATATTATAGCAGGATGCAGTTAAGTGCTAATGGAAGAGGTGAGCTTTCAGGTGTTTCTTGAATATTTTCAGGGATTTAGTGTTCTAGACAGGGTTGGGGAAAAAAATAATTTCACCAGCAAGGAACAGTGACCTCAGGCTTCTGGAGGAGATGTAAGCTGTGTCCCAATGTGAAGTGCACGGACTCCGAAGTGTGCATTTGAAGTGCGATTGCGTCACAGCGGCACGACGTAAACTGTCCCAATTCAGGATGCACCCTCTGAAGATATATAAGGCAATAATCTTTATTTTTGTTGTGTTTTTGTAGTGCTGTCATGTCTACAAATGTTTTAACCAAACTTTATCACTTCAGTATTTTGTATGCATGTCCTGCTGTGTCATATTTTCTAATGTTAAGATTGCAAACTTGTCTTTATATTTTTCATAAGTGTATCCATTTTCTCTTGTTTTAAGACTATTTTGGAGAAAATGAGCCTGCTGGGGAAAGACTTCAAAAATACAAAGTAAGCAAGTTAATAGACACATTTTTGCTGAAATTCATTGTGCTGTTGTTGTTAACAGGCATGGTTTATTTGCTCTGCCTTAGGATTGCAAGTGTCCTGGGACAGGTGAGGGAGTGAGTGGAAGCTGGTGGAGCTACTCAGGGAGGACATCAAATTCCAGAGAGAGACAGAGGAGAGAAGAGCACAGGAGAGCAAGGAGAGAGTGGAGAGGCTGTTTTCTCTTCTTGAGAGAATGTTTAACAAATACATTATTTATTAGCCATTCTCTATTAGGCAAGAGAAAACAGTAGAAAAAATGGCTACAATACAATTTTTCAATATTTTTTTTTAAATGTCACATTGTCAATGAACCAACCAAATTTCTGTAGTTTATTATTGTGATGTAAGTTCAAAATTAAATTAATAAGTTGTATACATTATTCATTTTTGTAGTGTAATTTATTTGTACTTTCTGTAAATGTTGTATTTTTGTTTTGCATATTCACGTGTAAATAAAAGAGAAGTAATTATATACATTGTTAATTTTTTTAATGCAGCTTATAATTTTTTTCACAAAACATTCTTCTATAAGTTTATTTTTTTTGTCCTGTAAATAATTTTT